AATAACGATAAGAATAATAACTATTATTATTATTATTATTGTAATAATAATAATAATAATAATAATAATAATAATAATAATAATAATAATAATAATAATAATATGGATATAAATATACATAATGATGATCAAACAACGAAGAATTTATCTAGCTTTGTTTTAGACATGGATATATTTAAAAAAGAATGAACAAGTGCATTTCATTTGTTATAAGGCGAAAGAGAAGTTTTCAGATCGTTAAACAGCATTTTCAATGTATAAGATGGACCAGGATAGTCGATTGACGGCACAAACGTGGAAAGTACAGTTTTATTTCTATTTGGAGGATAAATGAGAAAGGTAATTTGCAAATTGGCATCTTGAAGAAAGATTCGATTCAACAAAACCGTATTCTGATGGTCGGATGGATGGATATTATGAATGTATCGCATTGCTAAGTAATCGAGCAATTTCTATGGAATTGAATCGTGTTGCATGATGCACTAATACAAGAGCAGAATATCGGAACGATTGATTTACACAACTAAGACGAAAGCGATTTAGTGACGATGGATGAGCATTTGATCATGTGCTAACGATTCATGAATGAATTAAACAAATAAAAGAGCGATTGGATAGACGGCTTATTCATTGATGTGCTTGCTGTTAGCATCGGTTGGTGTACGTTCTCGGCGTATCGTCCTCCNCCCCCCCCCCCCCCCCATCCTTAATGACAATAATTCTGACGAGAACAGTGGGTGGATAGCTGAGAGAAAAAGTATCATCATCATTTTATTGCTACTTTAATTATAATTATTATTTTCATTCTTTTTCCTATTCTCATTCTTATTATAATTCTTCATCTTAATATTATTGTTAGGATTATCATTATTCTTGTTATTATAATTATTACTGTTATTATTATTATTTTTATTGTTATTACTATTATTATTAATATTATTATTACTATTATTATTAATATTAGTATTATTATTATCATTAATATTAATATTATCATTACTATTATTATTATTACTATTATTATTACTGTTATTATTATTA